CATGAACTGCATAGAAAAAAAATTACTAGAACTGCATTAAATGTCTCTTGGAATTTTATCTCCTTGAGCCCAAGGTATACGTTGCTTCCTATTGCTGTTGTAACAAAAATAGTGGCTTAGAACAACTTGAATTCATTCTTTTATAGTTCTAGAGAGTAGAAGTTTAAATCAAGGCAGCAGCAAGGTTGTGGTCCTTCAGGATACTTCAGGAGAGAATGTTTACCCTGCCTTTTTTCTCTCCCCTCCCCTTCCATCTTCCCTTCCCTCCCCTCTGTTTCCTTTCCTTTCCCTTCCTCTTCCCCTTTTCCTTCCTTCCCTCCTTTTTTCCTTTCTTTCAAGAGAGAATCTCACTATGCTGCTCATACTGATCTCTAATTTGTGGGCTCAAGAGATCCTCCTGCTTCAGCCTCCCAAATGTCTTTTTTAGCTTCTGGAGGCTACCTGCATTCCTTTGTTCCTGGCCCCATCTTCAACACACATCACTCCATCTGTTTCCATTGTCACATTTCCTACTCTTCACTCTGACCTCCTGCCTTCCTTTTATAAGGACCTCGGTGACTACATGTGACTGACCAAGAACTCCAGAATAATCTTTCCCATCTCAAGATCTTTTTTTCCATCACACCTTTGCCATATAAAGTAATATTCTCAATAGGAGTCTTTAAATTATCTAGCCCTGCCTTGTTCTCCCACTACTGTATACAACTTCTTACCCTTGTCTAGCACAAACTCTTATATATATATATTTTTTTTTCCAAATAAGTTATTTGATGGGAAGTTGCTGGGATTGAACCCAGGCATCACGCATGTTTGCATACACTCTGCCACTGAGCTGTATCCTCAGCCATAAATGTTTATTTCAAATGTACACCATATCATAATACTTGCTTTATCAAGAGCCTTAATAGTAATGGTTAATAAAGCTAATACATGCATATAGCTCAGTGATAGAATGTTTGCCTCCTGTGTGCAAGGTCTTGAGTTCAATTCACAGCACTGGAATAAAAAAAGCTACAAATATACCCATGAAGAAAAAAGGCACTGTTCTTCATATGGACAAGAGAAAATAGCTTGTTTCAGTTTTACCAAATTAATGGGAAAAGGAAGTAAAATGTTGTCTTATAAAAAGTCCTTAAGAAAAATGAAGCTGGGCTTTGGTGGATGCCTGTAATCTTAGCACTTGAGAAGCTGAAGTAGGAAGATTACAAGTTCAAAACCAGCCTCGGCTACATAGTGAGACCCTGCCTCAGAAAAACAATTAAGGAAATATGAAAAAATACTTCAGGTCTGTGACTATTGACTTGAACACATGTATTTCATGTTCATATATCAGCAGTTGATATATATGCATGGATTCAAATCACCGGTAGCTAACACTGACCATATGTCTTCTTGCTGAAAGTTGCTTATGAATGTCTTTCATTCCTCCCATACCAGACAATTTGCTGAAGGTACAGTCTGCTATTTCATTCTTCTCAGTTTGAGATCTGAGCAGATAACTCTTATTTCTGTTCTCTGTCTGCCTGTAGTCATCAATTCACATAGCCTTGAGGCAAGAGAAAAGAAAAAAAGCCCTCTTTAAATGTGTGATCTCCCAAATCTGCCAAACTCTGTGACTCCATAGTAATTGTTTCAACCACTTTCCTCTGCTGACCCAGTACTTAATATGCCACCCAACTGAGGGCATTCTCTTTTATGGATTCTCCAGTTTTCTTAGTCTCTAGAAACATCTAAGTGCTCTTCATTCATCCAGAAGTACAACAGGGATCTTCCAATGGAGCAATTGTCTATGGCATTCCAAAATATGCAATGAGTGGATCCCACAGGTGAATTGAAAATAATCATAACCACAAAAAAAATACCTTTGACTGCAGGTTCTGAGGTAGAAACTAAATTGTGAGGTATGTATTATTTTAAGGAGCTACTAAAAGAAGAGAGAATATTGCATTTTTAACACTGACAAGAAGTACTATACAGAGTGGCCTGAGAAAGCCTCAGAGGTGATGGTCCCCATGGCTGTGCCTGTGAACTTGGACCAGCTGAGACACAATAGTGAATCTCACAACATACCTTGACACCTCACTCATTCAGACTCTGGTTCCTTGACTGTCAGATCTGCCTTCATATCCTACCCATGCCTGTCAATTCTAGATTTTCAGCTCACTTTATCCCTAGCTTAGATTCAGCTTCCTTATTCATAAAATAATGCTAGAAGAATGAAATGAAATGGCATATATAAATCCTAGCATAGAATCAGTATAGCAGACCACTTTAAAAAGGCTATTTAATTCATTCACCCATTTGTCATTACATGTACTGGAAGCTTATTATGCACAAAGCTCTCTTCTTGGTATGGAAGGTACTATACCCAAAAAGTCTCATCCTCGCCCTCAGTTATTTCACACTAAAGCAGGGTTTTCAAGCCACAGTCTGTGGAACTCTAAGTATGGGTAGGTAACTCAGAAGTTTTTGAGGTCCTGTAGTTGTGAATGGACTTTTGTGTTCTTATGTGCTTACAGTACTTTTCTATAGAGAAAAGGTCCATCCCTTTCAATAGGTCATCAAAGGGATCTGTGTAGTGGTCATTCTTGGTTTATATCTCCCCAGCATGACTCTCTGGAAAATAAAATGAACACTTTCTTTGCCCTGGAGACGCACTATTTTGTCGTTCTCAATCCATATGGTTTGGATGAGGGATAATTTCAACTCCTGGTTCAAAAGATAAGTTTCATAACCCATGCTGGGCCAACAAAAGTTAAAAATAAAAAAATTAAAAGTCATATACTTTCCACCAGAGCTTCAAAAGTTGTAGAATTCAAGCCATAAGCTGCTTGATACAGAGGTTTCCTAGAGGACTAACCCACCAGGAAGAGACTGTTGGTCTCACTACATAAGCCAGGCTGGTCTTAAACTCTGGTCCTCCTGCCTCCACCTCCCAAGTACTCAGATATAGACATGCACAACCATACCTGACATCGTAGTTCCAATTTTTAAATGCACAAATGTTAAACTCTACCCTGACGAAACACAGCACATGGATAAAAATAAAAGTTAAAAGAAAAAATAAGAATGAAAAATCATATAATCACAAAAAATAAAGAAAAAATGAAAGTGAATTTATGAAAGTGAAAACAGCCATTATAGTGAAAGGATAGAATTGAGGTTATACTTTCTCTTTTTAAGAATTGTTTTTATGATATTTAGTGTTCTTTAAAGTATTTTCAAAGCACTTAGCACAATCTGTATTTTAAAAAAATACATTGCGATGAGTCACTTGTGTTACAACATATCCTCAAATGGGAAATTCCCTGGTGACAAATAACTAAAAATTGGAGCACTAAGTATATATATACACACATCTTGGTTAAAGAATAAGCCCATTTAATTAAATGGTCTGCATTTTATCATGACAGGCACAGAACATTTGAATTACAGAAAAAATATTACAATCTTTTGGGATTTTTTTTTTCATTGTAAGACCTGAGCTGTCTTATGTATAAGGTATGTATTTTTACCATCAAGTTCTTCAAAAAAGAAAAAGAAGAATCACATGTACCCATGTGATAATTCCCCAAGTGGCAATTCCCCATCATGGGGAGAGGAAGCAAACCTAGGCCACTGGGCTGTGAAGCTGTTTTAGGCAATCCCTGTGAGGTACAAGAGAAGTGAGGACCCAGAAAATACAAAGCCCTAGTGCTCTCTTAGAAACCACAGAAGCCTCTAAATTTCCACTGATGACAGAGAAAGATGGTAGGGAAAGACCACAGGGGGAAATCACCAAGGCTATTTGAAGGAGAGCTGAAAGGTCAGACAAATGCAGAGACAGAAGCCATGGCAGTGAAGACCATAGGAGCACTCACTACACCCACATGGTGTATGCACAGTGGGGGCAGGTCTGTCACCTGCATCCAGTGAGCCACCAGCTGACGGTTTGCCTGTACCATCTACAAGAGAAGTATAAAACTCCAACAGGGAAAAACAAAGAATGCCTCTTTTTGGAGGGGACTTCCCCCTGGCTAGGAAGGTTTCAGATCATGTTTTGCAACAATCTCATGCTTGTGACAGGGTTTCAGGGAAATGAGACAATTCAGATGCACATCACAAAGGAGAAAACAATCAGCAATAGCTTAAGAAAACAAACTGAACCATGTGGAGTCTGAGAAGGCAGTGGTTCAAGACAATGCTCAGTCTAACTAGGCCTACTGTGGAAGAGACCCCAGAGAACAAGGGCCAATGTCACTTAGTCTTCAATCATAATTAGAGTTTCTATTTACTAAGAAGAGCCTTTACACACTGTATGGCTTCTTACAATGGATAATATGAAATGACCATAATTATCCCCATGTTCATCTGCAAAAATGAGAAAATGTATTCAAAGAAATTAAATAAATTAGCCAGATTCAGGGCTAAGATTCAAATCCATCTATCCCAATTTGCATGATTCTCCTTTGGTCCTTCTGTCACTAATTCATGGGACTCACTATGCAAGTCACAAACTTCTTCAGCTTAGATTTTCCTTTATAGTTTGTCATAAGTAAGTCTAGATCTACTTCTTAGCTACAAGTTAAATAAGATCATAGCCTGAAAAATTAGCTATTTCTGCCCTGTCATCAACCAGCCCTGTAGAAATACACAACTCATGTAAGCTCTCTAGGTCTCAGGTTTCTCATTTGTAAAATGAGGCTGAAGTGGGTCCTCTCCAGCTCTTGACTTCTCTAAGGCATAGGTAGTCCTCACATGCCAAAATAAGAAAGCAAATTTCAAAGTTGTTTTATTTTTAAACAAAATATGTGTCAAGATTATCATATCCCAAATCCCTACAGATAATGCACACTTAAGTGGCTCAGGCTTAAAAAAATTTAAATATTTTTAAATGTTTTAGATAGTCTTGCAAAATTGAGTGAAAGTACTCCAAGCAACCCCACTGTCAGCAGAAAGGCCACACAGAAAAAAGCAGATCAACATTCTTTAGCCGTCTCCCAGCATAAATCATCACTCACCGTGGGAAAATGATGGCTTGCAGGAAGTAGGGCCTATGAATCATTTTATTGTTCTTGGACTCTGATCGAGCAAGAATTAGGGAAAATACTGGAAAGTTGGGGTGTGAACTATGACTTGCTAATAGCTCCACTCATGGCATTATGAGGTAAAGAAAATGGGAACCCAAGTAAGCTGCAGGTCTGTGGTCTATTGAGTCACAAGGCTGCTACTCCGTGTGGTTAAGTCCAAGGCAGAAAAAGTCCAAGGCAGAATGGCACGGGCCCCTGACTTCCTGAGTCACTCCTGGAGTCTGAGTCTTTACAACCTCAAAGAGTCATTGGTCAGCAAATGCAAATAACACCACCCCTGGGCTTGTCCTGACAGGATGCCTACTTGTCAACTGATGATTGTGTAAGACATCCTCCTTATATTGAAATATAAGCAAACATCTAAAGGAAGTGTTAGGTTGCTTAACATCAGCCCTCTTTTTCTAGAATAGAAAAACATGAGAGCTACCCCACAGATGCATTTCCCCTGTGACTTCAGCAAATATTGTGCTATAATTTCTCCTCTATGGCTAATCAGCATGCCATACCTACTGCAACGTACTTTTTTTTTTTTTCAGTACTGGGGCTTGAACTCGGGGTCTACACCTTGCGCCACTCCACCAGCCCTTTTTGGTGATGGGTTTTTTTGAGACAGAGCCTCGTGAACTATTTGCTTGGGCTGGCTTTGAACCACGATCCTCCTGTTCTCTGATTCCTGAGTAGCTAGAATTACAGGCATGAGCCACCAGTGTCAGCTACAACATAATTTTTATATCATATTTTTTAGATGGCCATTTATACCTTTAGAAAATGATATATACCTTTGAACAAGAAGCTATTTTGTGATCACAGACATAGAAAGGTACGAGATACTTAAATTACAAAGTACATATACAAAATCCTAGGAACCCACAGTAGAACATAAGAAAATTAATCTCTTAAATACTCAAGAATATTGCTCTCTATTGTCTTTATGTCTTAAAGTGTTCTGGTGATATAGAAGGGAGAATGTTAAAAATTCTCCCAGTCTTAAAACAAGGGTTTTAGAACTGTCTTCATTATAATGCCTGAATGACAGGGGAGTGAGTCTCATAGTCAAGAGATTAGCTATTAGGGAGATACTCACCTTATTTGATTTAACCTTCTTACCAAGTTAAAATAAAAACAAGCATGTATCCCAATATATCTATATTTTTATTTATGAATTACATAACTATACTACTGACAAATGTGTTATGAACAATATAAATGATTTTTAAAAGATGGCATTTAAAGATATATGTGTTTATATTTTTCCTCTCCCCATATTGCAGTAGACATTGGAGCTTGTGCACTTTGGGACTGCTGAAGTTTCAGTTTGCCTGTCATAGAATTTGTGTTATGTTAAATGAGCGCAAAACAAGTTTTGTGCTTCTGTACACTTTTGCTAAAATTCCAAATAGCCCATTAATTTTGCAGTTGATCTTAAGGTAATTGAACTAAGCACACACGAGAAATCACAAGGTCATCCTCCATGTGCTTGCAAGAGTATTTCCCCAGATGTTTCTGAGCCACTGTCCATTGGGTTTTGAGGGAACCACTAACAATCATCTCCTCATTAATATCATTTAATTGCAGTACTAAGAGTACTTTGTCTTTTAGAGTTGCTTCTCTAGAGGGATAGAGGTTGTACAAAGGGAAAGAGCAGGTCTCATTCAGGTGTAGTGCAATGTGGAGAGTTCTGTAGAGCTCTGTCTACCAAGCAAAAGGGCTGAACAGAGATGGTGGTGATTCTCCTTGTGGATTACATGAGTTCCTAGATGAAAATGCTGTTTTTTCTGAAAGCACACATAAAACATCTAACATGACCAGTATAAGGAATGGGCTGGGGCTGGAATGCTGGATGTATATAAGAAAGCACTAAGCCTCTCATGCTCTCTGTCCACCTAGATGCACAAAACTCCCATGCTTAGAGGGAGAACACTGGTCTCTCTGTTCATTCTTCACTTAAAAGTATGTACTTGTGTTTTACAGACTAGCAGAAACCCAGTAAACCTCTATTAACATCTCTGTGTGACCTTCAGGAAACACCTCATGGACCATTAAAAGTGCTAAGGGGAGCTGAGATGCTGGTGATGAGAATGTGCTAGACAAGGAAGGATGAAAGGGGGAAACCTGTTTGTGAGGCCTATGGATTTTAAAGGGGGAAATATGGTTGGGGAGTGACAAATAGGATCTCTAAAGGGCAATCACCATCATTGACACTCTTGTTTAGAGACCATTTAATGACAGCCACCCTAAATTTTGGTTCTTTCTTGGGTTAGTTCCACAATTGCTGAAATGAGGAAGTGAGCCCAGCACTTTTATAAGCCTCAGAGTTAACAAGAAGTTATGAAAATTCCCAATAGGCTTACTTTATACTCTAATACTTGAGCAAGGAAAAACAGGGACATTCCATTGATGAGTCACACCAAAGAGACAAGGGACTCTATAAAAGGTTTCCCCAGACAAAAGGAGTCTTTATGAAATTGGGGAGAATCAAATGAAATTAAAAGATTTGGAAGATAAGGGTATATTTCTCACAAAACAAGAGAAAGAACACTAAGTGAGAAATGCTTGATAGTAAAGATTGGTGCACAAAGAGTGCTTGGTGAGAAGAAAGAAAAACAGGAGCAAATATTCTGACCCTGAGGCAGATGGGAATGTTGGGGAGGGCCTTGGGACTGAGTCAGTTAGGATCAAGGGAGATTCAACCATGCCTGGCAGTGTCTGAGGAGACACAAACACAGGTCCAAAGACTAACAGAGTAAGTGTCTTAGTCCATTTTCTGTTTCTATTACTGAATATCTGAGGTCATGTAACTTATAAAACATAGAGGCTTAGTTGGCTCATGTTCCTGGAGGTTGGTAAATTCAGAGGCATGGTGAGGCATCTGCTTATCATCTGGTCAGTGCCTTTGTCCTACATCAGACCATGGCAGACAGCGTCATAGAGCAAGACAGCAAGCATGCCAGAGAGAACTCATTTCTACTGCAAGACACTCACTCCATGAATGAGTTAGTCCATTCACCTCTTGCAAGTCTTACCTCCAAATACCACTAACCATGACTTTGGAGATTAAGTTTTGAACGTATGAATTCCAGAGCTCAAACATTCAGATAGCAGGTAAAAGTGAGCCTGAGGACAAGGTCAGACTCTGCAATTCCAAATTCCTTCTGGAATCAGTAGAGTGTGTCCCAAGGATAGGACAGATGGTTTTGTCAGAGGCGTTTTGACTATAAAGCCTGGAGGCTTTAGATAGGCCATATCAGGAAGAAGCGCACTGATGCAAGAGGACTAATATATGGATGAGAATTCCTCATAGAGCTTTTTCTGATTAAACATGTCTCCTGTAAAGGCTGACATTGAATTTTGTATGATACAGGAATTGTAAAACTCTGAAATCAATGAGTGAGTCTAATCTATTGTGGGCATAGATAACATTGAACATCATAGATTTTAATCTGGAAGATTCTAATCACAACTTGACAACAAAAACATGAGTGTATGTAATGTCAAGGCTGAAGAATGAAAAGAGAATGTCACAAGCAGTTATTTTTCCTGCAAAGGCCAAACATCCAGTTATTTTGGAATAAACATATATTTCATAAAAACCACAGCATAAAAAGTTAAAGCCATCTATGATACTTGTGCGTGGATCTAATTATTTTCTATGGTTCCATGTAAAGATGGCAGTATTAGTTCAGTGATCACTAACCGGATATAATAATGGTAATTAACATGTGACCGTGGCTGAGTTTCAAAATGACTAAATGATGCATATTTAGAACCTATCGTTTATACACAATGAATCATTTACTAATAATTTGTTCAGTCATAGAAAGGCAGTCAGGATTCAGAATTAGATTTATCGTCTCCTGGAATCCTTCCTCTTCCTATGTCTTAGCATATATATGTTCTAAATTGAACTAAAATAAGTATTTATTTTAATGACCAGTTATTTCTATTACAACTTTTAATTTTAGGGCATCCTGGTTATTATAGTGACTGTACCTTCTTACTTGGCATGTCGTCCCTACTGCACTGGGATTATTGCATAATTCACATGAGGTCGACAGCTTCTGACCATATCTAGAAAACAGAAGGTGCTCAACTAATGCTTATTAAATGAAACTAGATCTAAAACTGAAATAAAATTAAGAATTCCTCTAGTATTCAGAGAACATGTCAGATCATTCACATTTTAACAAATACATTAGCTTTCACACTTAAGCAAACAAGCTTTGTCTACAACTTTGATTTCATTGCTTTTTTCAGCAATCATGTAATTTCAGTGCAGATTTACTACTTTAGATGTGTGTCATTCCCCTTGTTCTTCATGGCTTTCCTTTTTGTTCCCCTTTTGCTGATTCCATGCCAGCTTTTCTACTTTTCCTTCCAATCCCACCCCTCCCATCACATACACACCCCTTGTAATTGTCTTTGGACAAGCCTATTTAGTCATTTGTTAGATTTAAGATAAAAGTTAGAGACTTGAGAAGAAAAAAACCAAACATGAACCTTGAATATAGACTTCATTTTAGATTTATTTCACAATTATTGTAAAAACAACTTGGAACTAATTTTTTTAAATCTTTTCCAGGTTAGTACATTGTATACCCTGCACGAGCCACTACTAAGTCTTAATGTCTGGCTGCTGAGTCTTGAATGTTTAAATATTCAAAACAAGTTTCTGAGAATATTATTTAATATTCACTTGTCATTCAGAGTCTATATCTAGACAGGGCTGCTGATAAAAATGAAAGACAAATGTTGGCATTCATTTTCATAACATAATTAAAGTTCATTTCCTGGGTGGGGTTGGGAGTGGGGAGTGCCTTTGCTGGCCACCTTCTTGTAGAACCAGGCTGGAGTGGACACTTCAGGCTAACACAGGTACAGGTGCTGTTTTTAAATACTCCTAATTCCCATAAAGAAAATAAGACCCAGTGACAGAGCCCATGACCACCCATCAGGGTGAATTTCTAGACCTACTCCTTCTACCTGCTTTCTTACAGTGTATATAAACTGAACTTTGCACAGATCAGTATCAGCCACACAGGAATAGAGATGAGAGTATAATAAGGCCTTATTCTGCCCCTTCCCCAAACCATTTGTGTGATGTCAGCTCTGATATTCCCTCCCCTCAAGCGCATACTTCAGTCCTATTTTCCACAGCACATTAGGTCAAAATGTTTTGTGACACTTTAAACTTCCTTCTCCC